AGAAGGGCAGACACAGGGAGGGGAGTGATGGGCACCGGAGGGCAGAGGAGGGTGGCAGGGCAGATGGGTAGAGGGAAGTGTTAGGAGAGGGGATGGAGCAGCTACAGATGATCAGTGGAGCTAGAGGAGGAGGTAGACACGGGGAAGGGCAGGTGCAGGGGTCAGAGAGTGCGGGGATGGGAGCAGGTCCCAGGAGGGCTGAGGGGAGTGAGAAGAGAAGGAGCCAGGACCGCAGAGGAGGAGGTGGGGTGGGGGGCATCAGGCACCAGGGGAGCAGATGGGGCGAGGGGAGGGTGGGAGACAGGGCAGCAGAGGGGAAAGGGAGAGGTTTATAAGATATTTGTTAATAACTTAGGTCCTCTGGCGGCACCCATCCGAACAAGCGCGCACGACCTCAGTATTGGTGTCCAAGACAAAACTCCCTCTGCTCCTGGATGGCAAATCTTAGAGGGAACACTGGCTCCAAGATCTCTTTCTGGAGTGGTAACAGTTAATTTGACCCAATCATTCTGTATACATCGTGTGACAGGCTAAGCCAGAGCTCTGCCACTACAGCCTGGCTGAAAAGGCCAATTCCAGCCAGCAGAGCAAGCCCAGGCCTCAAGGGCTAATGGAAGCTGCTGTGGCCTCATTAGCCAGAGGACGATATGAGGCAGCCAGAGGGGAAGTGAAGGGGAGGTGCCAGGAGGTTGCTGAGTGTTCCCAAGCCAGAAGGAGAAGCTGGCTGAGTTATCTGCTAGGAAACCAAAGCTCTGTAAACAGAAGGTGGTGGGAAATTGGTACGGAAAAGAAGAGGCCCGGGTGACTGCACCAGAGAGGGTCTCCAGTTGGTTTGAGACCCAAGAAGGGGTCCCAAGGCGAGGGGCCTGGGCAAGGAACTTGCCACACTAGTTGAAATTGTTTTTTCCAACGTGTGTTACTTTGCATCTATTAACATGGAATCTCATCTGCTGTTTTGTCACCCATTTTAGTGAGGTCCCTTTGTAACTCATTACAATCAGCTTTGGACTTAGTGTGAGGAATTTTACCAATTCACTATTCACCCCATTGGTGAGATCATTTATAAATATGTGGAACAGTACTGGTCCCAATGCAGACCTATTTGTCTCCCTCCATTCTGAAAACTGACAGTTTATTCCTGCCTTTTGCATCCTGTGTTTTAACTGGTTTCAGATAGCAGATAAAGAGGAAATTTCTATCCCATGACTGCTTAGTTTGCTTGTTGAGCCTTTGATCCGAAAGTCCACAGGTTTGCTGGCCTCATCAAAGAATTCTAACAAATTGGTGAAAAGTCTCAGAGGGGTAATCGTGTTAGTCTCTAAAGAGGACCCACAGGACTTGTTTTTGCAGATATAGACTAACAGATTTATTAGGGCATAAGCTTTCATGGGAAAAACCTGCTTCAGCAGATGAATTGGAGTGGAAGTTACAGAAGCAGAGGTGTTTATATAAGGAAGAAATTGCTTGTGTTAATGAGGCTAATCAAGTCAGAGTGGAAGCAGCACATTCACAGCATTTGGTGTTGAGCTGTGAATATCCAGAAAGGGGAAATTGCCTTTATAATGCATTAACCAGTTGAGATCCTTAGCCAATCCTAAGTGTTGAATTTGCAAATGAATTTCAGTTCAGCTGTCTCCCTTTGTAATCTAATTTTGAAATTCTTTGTTTTGTAGAAAGATGGCTACTTTCAAACCCATTACTGAATGTCCAGAGGTTAAAGTGTCCCCTACAGGTGTGGCTCTTCTCATGTCTAGAGCTAGATACACATGCAGTAGCACCCCCTCTTCCAGGAATAATCACACTTCCTCTCAGGACCTCAGGGCAAGGCGCTGTGCCATGCGCTCTCTAAACCCCAAGGTGTAATGCCTCTTAGGCCACAAAGACAAAATCCCATATGCTTGACTGCTAAGGACCAATAGGCACAAAAAGAGACTCTTCAGCCCACTGGTAATCTCATCTCCCGGGACACTCTGCAGCAGGGAAGATCACGCTACCATTCGTTGCTGCAGCACAATATAGGCCTAGCGATTTTTAGAGTAAGTTGTATAGAATCCTATTTGGTGACAGATCCTCAGTCAGGATAAATGGTCATTAAGCCATTGAATCCTTGTCAATTTATGACAAATCAGGGTCATTTTAGTCCTGTTGGCTACAGTCCTATTACATTCCGCAGATAGAAATTCTGTCCCAGGGTGCTGTGCGCCTCCCTCTGCCTAGCTACGCTACTGGAATTGTCCAGGTGCCTGTCAGCACAGTATGAGCACAGACTCATTCACAGCTCAGTCACATTTCCCTCTTGTGACTCCACAGCAGCTGCTGGGACCCTGCCACTGTGATGAGGAAATTGGAGCAGCTGTGTGTGGAAACTGGAGCAGCCTGTAGGTATGCTAACCCCAGCTCTTAAAATCATCTCTAAATACCCCACTTTGGAAAGTATTTCCTATATCTTGGGGAAAGACGGTTTTAAAACTGGGCAAACATTCACTTGCTGGGTAGAAAAGCCAGTCATGTGAAAGAGATACACGACCTGCTGGAGGGTGCTAAGGCTTGGGAATTTCCTATTTGATTTATCCTCCCAACTCGGCAACCTTTGTTGTTTCCTTGATAAAATGAAATGTAGGGCTCTGCTTTCCAGAACAGTCTGAGTAGAAAAGATAAATAAGTAGAAACCTACCTGTGACAGGAGAACCTCTTTCCTTCACACACTAAGGTGGCATCACAGAGTAACTGGTGCTGGTACAGCTGCCTTAGACCTGCAGGAGTTGGGAAGACAATGTTAAGGCTGACATTGTACACCACAAGGAAACTTCTTGGAGAAAAGGATAAGAGCTCATTCTAAGGCACAGGTAGGGGGACAATACTTTTGGATGAGGATCCACTCTAAGATTTTGGGAGGTGTTCAAGGGCTGCACTTTTTTATGGAGGGAGTACAGTGTCTGGGTCAGAAGTTAGGTGCAGAAGGGAGCTCGGGGTAGGAGACTGTGGTGCAGGAAACTGTATGGGATCTGAGAGGGAGCTTGGGTAAGCAGGGGGGTTGGAACCTGGGGCAGGGGATTGGGGTGCAGAGTCCATGAGGAGGTATGGGTAGAGAAGAGGATTCTGACCTGTTGAAGCTGAGAGATTTTGCTGGGGTGGGGCAGCACACAAAGCCTCCCCCTATCCCCCAAAGCTCAGAGAGACACAGGGAGTAGGTAGCCACTTTGTCCAGTGTTGCTCAGTGCCGCATTGGCACGCCAGATTAGGCCAGATCCAGCCCCAGGACATATCTTGCCCACCCCATTCTAAGAAGAATATCTATCCATCCATCTCTCTCCGTACACTCCATCCATTCATCCATCCATCTTTCCCCGTACACTCCATCCATTCATCCATCCATCTCTCTCCGTACACTCCATCCATTCATCCATCCATCTCTCCCCATACACTACATCCATTCATCCATCCATCTCTCTCCATACTCTCCATCTATCTATCCTCTTACCCTGTATCTAGCTGTTTATCAAATATCTGGAAATCTGTTCTGATAATGGGATGGCTACAGCAGGAGTGCAAAAGATGTGATACCTGATGTCAGTTTGGTGATACCTGATGACAGATCTTTGCAATGTGGATGAGGACTAAAAGAGTTGTGGAGAATTAACTCCACTTTCAACTTTAATCATTATTAAGTTTACTTCAAAAAACATTATAAATAAGACAGCCCTTCCCCCACAAGTTGCTTCCATTTCTGCCATTTTCAGCATAGCAGAGATACCTTCGGCATTCATCTTCCCTGGGGGCTCTCACAGGTTGGCCCAGAAGATAGCACATACACATGAGGATCAGCTAACTTACCTTTGCTTAGCTCCAGTGGCTTTGGCAGCTCCTGTTTCTCCACTTTTCGGCTGGAACTCATCATGGACAGAATGAAGAAAGATGTAGAGAAGGAAATCCTGACTGAAAAGAGAACTAGATTCTCAGAGAGCATGCTCACAGGCACAGGACCAAATATGAAAGGTCTGGTGTATAAAATCATGCCAGAGGGATGGCAGGAAATCTGGTTTCCTACACATGCTGTTGTTTGGTTATGGACCAACAGTGACTAATTGCCTATTCACAAACCACTGCTGTATTTGAATGCACTAAAGGCAGATTAAGAATGGAGGAACAGCTAGACTCTGAATTATCTGTGGCATTGCAGAAATCCTGCCCCCTTTCCTTCTCCCACATGCATATATTTGTTCCCTCCCCTGCACTGCACAGACCCAGGGGTCTCTTTTGGGACTGTTTCTGTTCAATATATTCATCAATGATTTAGATATTGGCATAGAGAGTACGCCTATTAAGTTTGCAGATGATACCAAGCTGGGAGGGGTTGCAACTGCTTTGGAGTATAGGGTCATAATTCAAAATGATCTGGACAAATTGGAGAAATGGTCTGAGGTAAACATGATGAAGTTTAATAAGAACAAATGCAAAGTGCTCCACTTAGGAAGGAACAATCAGTTTCTCATAGACAGAATGGGAAGCAACTGTCTAGGAAGGAGTACGGCAGAAAGGGATCTAAGGGTTATAGTGGACCACAAGCTAAATATGAGTCAACAGTGTGATGCTGTTGCAAAAAAAGCCAACATGATTCTAGGATTCATTAACAGGTGTGTTGTGAGCAAGACACGAGAAGTCATTCTTCCGCTCTACTCTGCGCTAATTAGGCCTCAGTTAGAGTATTGTGTCCAGTTCTGGGCACATTTTAAGAAAGATGTGGAGAAATTGGAGAAGGTTCAGAAAAGAGCAACAAGAATGGTTAAAGGTCTAGAGAACATGACCTATGAAGGAAGACTAAAAGAATTGGGCTTGTTTAGTTTGGAAAAGAGAAGATTGATAGTTGTTTTCAGGTATTTAAAAGGGTGTCACAAGGAGGAGGGAGAAAACTTGTTCTTCCTGGCCTCTGAGGATAGAACAAGAAGCAATGGGCTTAAACTGCAGCAAGGGAGGCTTAAGCTGGACATTAGGAAAAAGTTCCCACCTGTCAGGTTGGTTAAACACTGGAATAAATTGCCCAAGGAGGTTGTGGAATCCCCATCTCTGGAGATATTTAAGAGTAGGTTAGATAAATGTCTATCAGGGATGGGCTAGACAGAACTGGGTCCTGCCATGAGGGCAGGGGACTGGACTCGATGACCTCTCAAGGTTCCTTCCAGTCCTATTATTCTATGATTCCCTCAGACGCACCCTGACTTTTCTGACAGAGCATTCCACACAACCCAACACCATGTATCTGTGCCATGTACACCATCATGTTCTCTATATTGCATGCCACAGTGGATTACAGTGGATGAGAAGCTGGATATGAGGCGACAGGGCGCCCTTGTAGCCAAGAAGGCTAATGGCATATTAGGTTGCATTCAGAGGAGCATTGCCAGCAGATCTAGAAAAGTGATTATTCCTCTTCATTTGGCTCTGGTGAGGCCATCTGTAGAGTATTGTGTCCAATTCCAGGTCCCCTGTTACAGAAAGGAGGTGGGTGCATTGGAGAGAGTCCAGCAGAAGGCCAGAACAATTATTAGAGGGCTGGAGCCACACAGGACCTTTGAGAAGAGGCTGAGGGGTTTGGGCTTATTTAGTCTGCAGAAGAGAAGAGTGAGGGGGGATTTGAAAGCAGCCTTCAGCTTCCTGAAGGGAGGTTTCAAAGAGGATGGAGAGAGGCTATTCACAGTGGTGACAGATGACAGAATGAAGAGTGATGGTCTTAAGTTACAGTGGGGGAGGTCTAAATTGGATATTAGGAAAAACTATTTCCCTAGGCGGGTGGGGAAGTGCTGGGCTGGGTTCCCTAGGGAGGTGGTGGAATCTCCATCCCTCGAGGGTTTTAAGTCCCATCTTGTCAAAACCCTGGCTGGGATGATTTAGTTGGCAAGACTGAATGTCATGGGACTCTGGGGCTAAGAAGGGACTGCAAGGCTCATCTAGTTTATCCCCTGCCAGGATGTGTCTAACCTATCCAGAAAAGATAGTTATCGAGCCGCCTTTTGTGAACCTTCAGTAAAGTAGCTTCCACAATCTCCCTAGACAGTCTATACCATTTTATTGTTTGGTAGGACAATAGGAAAACGGGATAAATAAAGGAGCAGAGGGCCTAGGAATATATTCTTATTCAAGCACAAGTTATTGTGCTCAACACAAGGGTAAGTGGGTGAATTTCTGTGGCCTATGTTATACAGGAGGTCAGACTAGATGATCTAACAGTCCTGTCTGACTGCAAAATCTATACATCTATTAATCATGTTAATTCATACCCAATCCTTGCTTGGACAATACTCAGGGTAATGGGGCTGCAACCCCTCCTCCTCCTGCAGCAGTCACAGGTCCATTAATCTTTACAATTGTTATGAAAATGTAAAGTGCTTAACAAAATGTATATCATTATGAGATCACCATCTTCAGCCTCATTTGCATACTGCACACAGATTGGTCTCTTTTGCATACATTAGACCCAGAGTGTGTCTGCACCAGGGAGGGGAAGGTTGAAAGGAATGCAGATGCACTGTGGGTGAGTCATCAAAGGAGAGGAGGCTGGGGAAGCTGCTGTCTTGAGCTAGAAGGTGGAGAAATGAGTACTGCAGTTGGTTGGGCGGCGAGAGTGATACTGATAAGATGGGAAACAACATGCACTAAGTTGTGCTGGTGATAGAGATGCAGCCATGTTAGTCTGGTCTAGCTAAAACAAGAGACAGGACTATGCAGCACTTTAAAGACTAACAAGACAGTTTATTAGGTGATGAGCTTTCATGGGCCAGACCCACTTCCTCAGATCAATTTGTGGAAGAAAATTGGCATGACCAAAGTGATACAGTCAAAAAAAGTGAACACATATAAAATTGACAAATCAAATTTTAGAACAGAGTGGGGTAAAGGGAAGGTTAGTATCTGTGAGGTAATGACAGTAGGGGTGATAATTGGGGAAGCTATCTTTGTAATGGGTGAGATAATTAGCATCTTTGTTGAGACCCATACATAAAGTGTGAAATTTAAGCATGAATGACAATTCTGAAGCTTCTCTTTGAAGTCTGGAGTTAAAATCTCTCTGAAGCAATATGCGTATTTTAAGGTCATTGAGAGAATGGTGAGTCTGGCTGAAATGGCAAGCAACAGCTTTCTCTCTGTGAGAGAGCCTGATGTCTGTTTTATGCGCATTGATTTTCTGGTGAAGTGTCTGAGAAATTTGTCCAATGTACATGGCAGACGGACACTTTAGGCACATGATGGCATAAATTATATTTCTGGATGAACAGGAATATGTGTTCTGGATCTTGTAACTGGCATGGTTAGGTCCAATAATGGTGTCAGCAGAGTAAATATGTGGACAAAGCTGGCACCAGGGTTTGTTGCAAGGAAAAGTTCCAGGGTTGGTATGAGTGTGGTATGTCCTTCCCCGATTATCACCCCTAGGGTGTGTCTAGACTACAGGGTTTTGTCTACAAGGCCCAACCCCTAGAGCACTCCACTGGATACTGGCGACAAACTAGACATTAAGCCATTGATCACTACTTGTTGAGCACAATGATCTAGCCAGCTTTCTTTCCATCTTCAATTCATCCAGGCCATACATCTTTAACTTGCTGGAAAGAATACTATGGAAGACCATATCAAAAGCTCTGCTAAAGTCAAGTCCACTGCTTTCCCCATATCCACAGAGCCTGTTATATCAACATAGAAGGCAGGTTGGTCAGGCATGACTTGCCCTTGGTTAATCCACTTTGACTGCCTCTGATCATCTTCCAAGTATCTTCTCCAAGTATTTCAAAATTAATTCCTTAAGGACGTGCTCCATCATTTTTCCAGGGACTGAGGTGAGGCTAACTGGTCTGTAGTTCCCCAGATCTTCCTCCTTTCCCTTTTTGAAGATGGGCACTACATTTGCCTTTTTCCAATCATCTGGGACCTCTCCTGATCAAGAGTTTTCAAATATAATGGCCAACAGCTCTGCAATCAGATCAGCCATCTCCCTCAGCACCCAGGGATGAATTAGATCTGGCCCCTTGATTTGTGTATGCCCAACTACTCCAAATAGTTTTCCAAACGTGTTCTTTCACTACTGAGGGCTGATCACATCCTCCACTTACTGTGTTGCCCATTCAGCAGTCTGGGAGCTGACCTTCTCTGTGAAGATCGAGGCAAAGAAAGCATTGAATACTTTAGCTTTTTCCACATCATCTGCCACTAGGTTACCTTCCCCCCATTCAATAAGGGTCTCACTCTTGTTGCTAACATACCTGTAGAAACCCTTCTTGTTATCCATCATATTCCTTGCCAACTGCAATTCTAACTATACTTTGACCTTCCTGATCACACCCCTGCATTCTCAAGCAGTGTTTTCATACTTTTCCCTAGTCATCTGTCCAAGGTTCCACTTTTTGTTAGCTTCCTTCATGTGTTTAAGATCAAAGATTTATCTGTTAAGCCAAGCTGGTTGCCTGCCATATGTGCTATTCTTTCTTCACATTGGGATGATTTGTTCCTGTGCCCTCAATAAAGCTTCTGGAAAATACAGCCTGGATTCCTTTCCCTTTCATATTAGCCTCCCACAGATACTGCCTATCATTTCCCTGAGGGAGTCAGAATCTGCTTTTCTAAAATATTTAGGGTATGTCTACACTACCCCGCTAGTTCGAACTAGCGGGGTAATGTAGGCATACCGCACTTGCAAATGAAGCCCGAGATTTGAATTTCCCGGGCTTCATTTGCAAGTGCGGGATGCCTACATTACCCCGCTAGTTCGAACTAGCGGGGTAATGTAGGCATACCGCACTTGCAAATGAAGCCCGAGATTTGAATTTCCCGGGCTTCATTTGCAAGTGCGGGATGCCTACATTACCCCGCTAGTTCGAACTAGCGGGGTAATGTAGGCATACCGCACTTGCAAATGAAGCCCGAGATTTGAATTTCCCGGGCTTCATTTGCAAGTGCGGGATGCCTACATTACCCCGCTAGTTCGAACTAGCGGGGTAATGTAGGCATACCGCACTTGCAAATGAAGCCCGAGATTTGAATTTCCCGGGCTTCATTTGCAAGTGCGGTATGCCTACATTACCACCCTAGTTCGAACTAGGGTGGTAGTGTAGACATACCCTTATTCTGCTGCTCTCCTTTCTTTCTTTTGGTGGGATCCTAAACTCAACCACCTCATGGTCAGTGCTGCCTAGGTTGCCACCTACTTCTACTTCTCCTATCTGTGAGCAGCAGGACAAGCGGTTCATGACCCCTAGTTGGTTCCTCCTGCACTGTCACCAGGAAGTTATTTTATCAGCCACCGTTACTAACAACTGCTGGGGTTTCCTGAATGACTTTGTTCTATCAGTGATAAAAGTCAGAGATCTATGCACATCAAGAGAGGGGGCAGTAGTGTGCACTTTAGGATAAAAGCTTGGAGGAAGACGTCCTCAATCAAGTGGAAATGTGACACTACCTTTGGGAAGCAATCAGGTTGTGGTCAGAGTTGCACCTTGTCCTTATAGGATCATGTATAAGAGGTTTCTGATTATAGGACCCTGCAGTGGGATGTAGTGGCCGCCCACTGACCCGAGGGGGAGAACCACCCTAACTACCCACCTGACTGGAAACCAAGAGGCGGGGTCAGGAATATAAAAGGATTGCCAGAGAGGCCAGTGAGGCCCCAGCGACCGAAGGAGCCAGAAGCCTCCCCTGTGCAGCCAAAGGAGGAGCTGGACCCAGGGGAAGCTGAGGACTGGCCTGGGCTGCCAGGCCCACAACTAAGTGACTGCTTCCCAGGCCAGAGGATCCCAAGCAATGGAGCCCTGAGGACTTGCACTGGACCCAGGTACAGTGCGAGGGGGAGTGTGGAAAGAGCCCATGGAAAGCCGACCGCTGTTTGGCTGGGCCAGAGCCCTGGGCTGGGAGGGGCTAGAGCCCGTTCGGCTGGACCAGGGCCCTGGGCTGGGACGCAGTGGAGTGGGTGGACCTACGTCCCTCCTGTCACCCCACTCTTGAGTGGCAGTCTCCCCCTTTGGCTGTTCCAGACCCGCAGCCCACATCTACCAGAGCCCCGCCTGAGCAAGGGGATCTGGCTGGGTGCTCCTATTTGAACTATTTGCCTGTCACCCCATCCTGAACCAAGGCCGGGCTCTGAACTGTTTATTGGCCTGCTGACAGCTATCTGAGACTGTGCACTGCCCCAGTGCTGAAGAGCCACCACTAATTCCCCCAAAAGACTACACCAGGTGTAGTGGGGTGGAATGGCCACCCACTCACTTCAAGGGGGAGGAGCCCTTCCCTGAGCGCTACAGGGCTACACATGGTGGAGAATGTGGGCATGACCCACCCCCTGATGAAAAGGGGTCAGCTGCCACCTGATAGAAAAAAGAAGAAAGAGAGAGAGGGAGATATGGAGCTCAATTTTTTTTTAAAATACCGGACAGCAGTCAGCAGCAGCAACAGCAGCAATTGATACAGCAGCTGGGTGCACAACAGGAGTACCAACAGCTGTTCATACGGGTGATGGGCACTCAGCAGCAGCAGTTCCTCCAAAGACTGGCCACCCAACAATTGTTCCAGCTACAGGACTTCCAGCAGCTGGCCACCCTGGGGTCCTGACCCAACAATCACCTAGGCTGCGGGAGACTCCCTGGTACCAGCTCCAAAATGGGACTGGATGATAACCCCAAACTCTTTTTGGAGATGTTTGAGTGGGTTGCGGTGGTGGCAGGATGGCCACTGGGGCAATGGGTCATCTCCTGTCACCCTACTTATCTGGGCCCACCTAGACAGCCTATTGAAGACTCCCTGTGATGGGATGAAGCAAACCCACACTGGCTGGGGGTACCGGGAACCCAAGGGGGAGGGGAAGCCTGGCAGAGACCTCGCCAGGGAGGCAGCTGGGGGGATAATCCAGACCCCAGTTGGAAGACCGGCTGGGGCCGAGTGAGGTACCGGTGCGGTGGGCACGGAACGCGCTGACAAGGTAGACACTGGGTAGTGATGTCACCCACCGGCTTGGTGGTTGACATCATGAACGCCCAGCAAGGCGGACGCCGGGTGGTGATGTCACCTGCCAGCTTGGTAGGTGACATCATAAGAGCTCTGACGTATGGCCAGGAAGCGGGGGAACCCGGTGTGCGCCAGAAATGGGATGGGCCGTGATGTGTAGGCAGGGTGCGACCTTTCCTTTTGAAATTAAAAGGGCATCCTCCACCCTAGGAGGGAGTGGAAGGAAGGACTCAGATGTGGAGATAGAAAGTGGCCCAGGGCGGGGTCATGGAGCCTGCAAACTGACGTGTTTAGGGGTGACTCTCCCGTCAGCCAGGCCAGGGAGAAGTCATCCCTGTCTTAGGGCCCTGGGCTGGGACCCGGGAGAGTGGGCGGGCCTGGGTCCCCCTACCCCACCGTCCACGGTCAAGTGTCAATTGTGGGGAAGTGACATTGAGAGTGAAATTGACTTTTCGGTACAGATGGTGCCTGGTGTGTAAAAGGGTGATGGTGGTGGTGGGGAACCACAATAAAACGGGCCAACAAGCAGACTCCAAGGTGGTTCTTCTACACTCCCTATGGAGGAGGCCCAAGATTATGGGTTTGTGAAGGCTGCGATCCTGGATGCCTTAGATATCACACCAAATACCTTCCACCACTGGCTCTGGAGTACCAGTTATCCAACCAGCTCAGGAAATTAAGAGTCTCTCGTGGTGGTGGCTGTACCCAGAACAGAGCTCCATCACCGAAACTATTGAGCAGATTGCCCTGGAGCAGTTCATTCAGGTTCTCCCAATGTGGGTCCTTTGGCATTGCCTGGTGATGCTCCATGCCACTGTCACCTTCATAGAGGACTATCTGGCAGCCGATGGGCTCAGTGGGTTAGAGAGTCGTGCCCCCCTCCCCTGAGCAGACCTGCAACCTCCACACCCTCTCAGAGGCCTTGGGAAAAAACTGACCATCGTTTGACACCCCAAGGTCTGGGGTCCAAATCCCAGAGGGGGGGCAGCTATTGCCTGGTGATGCTCCATGCCACTGTCACCTTCATAGAGGACTATCTGGCAGCCGATGGGCTCAGTGGGTTAGAGAGTCGTGCCCCCCTCCCCTGAGCAGACCTGCAACCTCCACACCCTCTCAGAGGCCTTGGGAAAAAACTGACCATCGTTTGACACCCCAAGGTCTGGGGTCCAAATCCCAGAGGGGGGGCAGCTGACCAGCACCCAGGGATAGGGGATTCTGGAGATGCCCCCCAAACCTGTGAATGGGCACTCCTGACCGGCCCACTCGGAGCTTGGTCCCTGCTTCTGCAGCCACTTGGGACACTTGCAGTGAGATTATCCTGATATGGACTGTAACTTTGGAGGGGTGTGCACCATGGAATCTTGGGCCTGCACACCAGGCCTGCCCAAGCTGACAGTACTGATGAAACTGGGGCCATGGGAAGTGGTCACCCTTTTAAATTCTGGCTGTGGACAAACCTTTGTCCCTGAGGGTATGTCTACACTACCCTCCTAGTTCGAACTAGGAGGGTAGTGTAGACATACCCTGAGGATGTTATCCCCTGGCCAATGGTGACCAATGGAGAGCTCCGACTCCAGTATATTCATGGCGACGTAAAGGCATATTCCTGGACCTGAGTGGCCCTGACCATAAACGGGATAACCAAAGAAATAGTGGAAGGGGTGGGCCCTACCCTAGCCTACCCTGTCATCCTTGGCTGAGACTGGCCTGGGGTTGCAGACCTCCTCCATGGAACCAGTCTTGGGACCCCCATCATGCAGGACACTCTGAAGGGAAGTTGGGGAAGCAGTAGCCAGCCTGCAGTTCGTGGCTGGAAGCTCACCGCCGAAGGTGAAGCAGAAAAGGAGGGAACAGAAGGACCAGAGGAGTCGAGCCAGCCTGGTTGCTCCCCTGGGGAAGACTTAGGGACCGCCTGCCTGGCGGACTTCCCCCAAGATCAGCAGGAGAATCTGTCTTTGCTATTTGCCTATGCGTCAATGTGGCTGTAACCAATCCTCAGGCAGCCGAGCAGTGGCCCTATTTTGAGATGATGTCAGATCGCCTTTATCGTGTGAACTGGGACCCACAGACACAAGAAGTCTGGTCCCAGCTTGTGATCCCTCGCTGCTACTGGAAAGCCGTTATGAGACTCGCCCATGACATCCCTGCTGCCAGCCACGTGGGCCAAGACAAGACCCTGGCATGGGTCCTATCACGATTCTTCTGGCCTGGAGTTTACCAAGAGGTGAAGGACTATTGCACTCCTGCCCTGAGTGCCAATTAGCGGCAGATGCCAGGGTTCCGCAGGCGTCTCTGGTACCTATACCAGTGGTCAGTACTCCATTCAAACGGATTGCCCTGGACCTGGTTGGCCCACTCCAGAGGAGCAAAGCGGGGTTCATATACATCCTGGTCCTCGTGGACTAGGCCAGCGGCTTCCTGGAGGCTAGCCTGCTGCAGAACACCATGGCCCGTACCATCGCCTCAGAATGGGCCTTCCCCAGGAGCTGCTCACAGACCTAGGGACTACTTTTACCTCCCACAGGTTTGTGCACTCCTGGGCATTCAGAAGCTCCAAACCTCGGAGTACCATCCGCAGACTGATGACTTCATGGAGCATTTTGATTGAACACTAAAGGGGATGTTGAGGAAGTTTCCCCCAGCTGAACTGCAACAGTGGGACCAGATGCTCCCCCCCGGCCTTTTGTTAGCCATCCGGGAGGTGCCCCAATCATTGACCCAGTTCTCCCCATTTGAGCTCCTCTATGGTCGCCAGCCTCGGTGGGTGTTGGACTTAATGCGGAAGACCTGAAAGAAGACACCCAGGGACTTCTCCACTATGTTTTACAGTTGCAGAAGTGACTGGATTGGGCCGGGATGCTAGCCTGAGAGAACCTCCAGGTGGCTCAGGCTAACCAAGAATGGTATTATAACCAGGGAACCTAGGAGAGGATTTTTGAGCCGGGAGACTAGGTATTAGTTCTTCTCTCTTCCCAAACCCACTGGAACCCACTCTGGGGCCCCAGGTGCTGGACCCAATGAGAGAAGAAAAAACGCAGCTGGGAGATTTGCTGATCAAGGGTCAGCAAAAGCAGGCGCATTGACTGTTGAAGGCCTTTCGGAAAACACGCTCCCCAGACAGACCATGGCGGTAACACACAATTCAGATAACCCTCAGCCAGGTCATAGAATCATAGAACCAAAGAGCTGGAAGAGACCTTAGAAGGCCATCAAGTCCAGACCCTGCCTAAGGCAGGACCAATCCCAATTAAATCAACCCAGCCAGGGCTTTGTCAAGCCGAGACTTAAACACCTCTAGGGATGGAGACTCCACTACTTCCCTAGGTAACCCATTCCAGTGCTTCCCCACCCTCCTAGGGAAATAGTTTTTCCTAATATCCACCCTGGACCTCTCCCACCACAACTTGAGACCATTGCTCCTTGTTCTGCCATCCGTCACTACTGTGAACAGCTTCTCTCCATCTTCTTTGGAACCTCCCTTCAGGAAGTTGAAAGCTGCTATCAAATCCCCCCTCACTCTTCTCTTCTGCAGACTAAATAGACCCAACCCCCTCAGCCTTTCCTCGTAGGCCATATGCTCCAGCCCCCTCCGCTGGACCCTCTCCAGTGCATCCACATCCTTCCTGTAACTGGGGGCCCAGAACTGGACACAATACTCCAGATGTGGCCTCACCAGAGTGGAGTAAAGAGGAATAATGACATCTCTGGATCATTGACTGGCAATGCTCCTCTCAATGCAACCTAATATGCCATTAGCCTTCTTGGCTACAAGGGCACACTGTTGACCCATGTCCAGCTTCTCATCTACTGTAATCCCCAGGTCCTTTTCTACAG